TTWAAAAAATAAATAAAATAAAAACCACTACTGGTATAAGATAGATTTTAGCAAGATGCATTTCTCTAAATAAATAAATAAATAAATAATCCAGGAGCAGCACAAGAGGCAAAAAGAAAAGTGATTTCTTTAAAAACAAGACTTAGCCAGAAGAATACCAAAGTCTTTAAGCAGTTTCCATCCTCTTTTTTTTTTAAACTCATCTAAATCTTACATTTACATAGAAGTAACACAGTCTGCTTCCTTGCAAGATAGCAGCACGCTAACATAYTGCTGCGCTCTGCCCTATAATCATAAACTTTTTCACTTTACATTCACTTTACACTTTACATTCCCTTAGCTTATAAAAAACTACAAAACAATAATGAAGTCTCCAGTGCAGAAATCTACCTGCAATTGGCTACAAACGCAATCTGCCACATTCATCATAAACTTCTGCTACTTTTAATAGCCCTGGTTTGTAATAGCACAAAAGCAAAAAGAAAACTGCCTAAAATGTTGGTGATGCAACTAAACTACCAACAATACAGATTACTACAGCTTTCCTCATACCTTCCTTATTCCTATTAAAACTTTATGTCTTAGACTAAAGTCAGGACAACAAATATACGTTTAAAATACTAAAATATTACTATATCCACTGACAATGATAAAGAGGAAAAAAATCAGAAGATCATCTGACATGGATTGAGCTTACATGAAAGAAAAAGGCCACCATTTTTGACATTTTGATTATATATGACTGACTTAAAGAGGATTTTTTTTTTTAAAGTACACATGTTAAGGTTAATTAAAGAATACTTTGGCTGGCTTTAGTTAAAAAGCTAAAAAAGTTAAGAGTGCCGAACAAGGAAACGGTCAGACTCGCGGCGAGATCAAGCATGCAGGCAGAGGCATCACACGGAGTTGTGCCCAAGCTCTGTGCTAACAACATCGCAAGGCAGGTGACCCAGATGCAGAGCGCATCACACATGGACAGCTGAGGTTTCGATAGTTGCCTGGTGTTTTGTCAATATTCTCCTCTGTCTTCTCTTCCTGCACTTCTAAGTCCTCCTCGGGTGGGTGGATTATTACTGAAGGAATATCGTCACTGGCGGAGGGCACCAGCAGCTCCTCGCCCTGAGGCGGGCCGGGCTGGGCGCTCGAGCTTGGCGGGTGGCGGAGGGTAGGGCTGGCGGGTGGTGTGTTTTGAGGGGTAGGAACGGGGGTTGTGCACCTGGAGGCTGCCGGGGTCCCAGCTCTCGAAGAAGGAAGAAGGTAATTGAGAAGAAGAGACAAACGGTTTTCTCCTCTCAGGGAAATATTTGAGGCAGAGAGACCTGTTCGCAAAGAGTGGCGGGAGGCTGAGAGGCCTTCCCCTGAGACAAAACAGATGAAAYACCATGAGGCTGACAACAGGGAAATTCTAGAAATCAGAGACACAAGTTACGCATTAACAATCTACACAGTAAACTGAAAGCTTTAAGGGCCCAAAAGTTTCATACTCATGCAAGTCAGGTCAGGGCAAATTTGGTTTTAGACATTAGGAAAGTCAGAATACAAGTAAGTACTGATTAGAATGCCAAAAAGATGTGGGAGAAGATAATACAACCTCCAAGTCAGCAAGGTGTTTAGCACAAGAATAAAATAAAATAAAAAAAASCTTTAAAACAACTTAGATTCTTAAGATTCTCCTAGACAAATAACCTGTCACTGCTACTTCAGTATCAACCTTTAATACCATACCATTAACACCATCCCAACAATACATGACTTCATTATTACCTACACCCATTAAATGCAAAGAGTTCTTTCAATTTTTAAAATGAAAATAATTTCAAAATTAACATGATCAAACATATRTAATCATGTTAAACCTGTCTTCCAACAAAAACTCTTGCTAACTTCTCTGGGCCAGCTGCAGTCTTCGTACAGAGTTCCTGAAGAAGACACACAGATATGCCATGTAGCACCTTCTCCATCTCCATTTGCTCTAACTTACCAAATATTCCCATATGTTAAGTCAGCCTAAGATCTGACGTGTTTTTCCCAAAGTCACTATTACTTTGTCCTACCCAGTCTTAATATCCCACTGTCTCACATTAAGCAGAAGACAGGCTTGCTTCCCTCCCTCAGAGGCTGGATGTATCACCGCAGTATTTACATTAGACAAATTAGTGACATCCTTCTGCCTGCTTATAAAGAGCACTCTTTATAACACTCACAGAGGCCACCACTTTAAACAGCTCTAGAATAATTTAATGACTATAAAATATTAGAATAATATTATTTGAATAATAATAGAAGAAAAATAGAGACAGAAATATGCCCGAGAAAATAYAATTATATGGATTTTTCCTCCCAACTCTAACAACAGAGAAGTGGGCAATAGAGTTAAATTTTATTTAAAATGAACATTAAAGCCTGACTACATTACAGTTTTAAAAGTTAGAAGGATCAATAATCCTTCAAAAAACTTTTTTTTTTCCTATACTAAAAAACTTTTTTTTTTCCTATACTAACTACTAATGTACTATCAACATCAGATTTCTGCCAGTAGACTGTTCTGAGTCTGTTCTGCCAGTTCTGAGACTGTTCTGCCAGTAGACTCTGTTCTGAGTCAAGAAGATGAGGTAACCTAACCCTAGCAAGCAGGGCCTTAAAATGTAATACACAGCGTGTTGGTTTTACCAGTTGTGCAGAGGATGACTATATGCATTTTAAAAAAGTAACARGTATGTACTGGCAGCAAGTTCCTCATATTATATTGGTTTAATACATCAGTATATATTCTATAACCTTTTGTGGGAATAGCAGAAGCACAGAAGGTTCTGGAAAGTAGCAGTAACATATGAAAATAACTGAAAAGCCAAACACCTTAAAATCTCAATTACAGTTGAGGAATACAGATGTTCCAGCATGGGTAAAACCAAGTTTATATTTGAAATGCTGAATTTTGCTAAGCAAAACATGAAAATCAGAAGATATGAACGCTCTTGCCAAAAAATGTACTATTTTGATTCTAGAAACAACTAATTCTGAAACTGTCAGTGAAATGTTTGAGTAGGCATCATATATTCACTAAGGAATACTATCTGAAGAGTTGAACACTTGCCAGATGAACTCCAAGAATGTATCAGACTCAGAGCACCCATGAAATTAACTTTTAATTGAAGCACTTGTAAGAAATGAGACATCTTTCAGGAATTAAATGGAACTTCATTTCAAGGAGCGACTTGTTATCAATATTAAGTTCTCTAGATAAAAAAAATTCCAAATCCAATTATATCTGTTTTAGTCAACATGAGGAAAGAGAAACAGAAAGAACAGAGATAGAAACAGGGAATAAGATATTTAAGAACAGAAGTAAGCTTCTCTAGGAATATGCATTGCATCCAAACTTTGGATGAAATGTATTAACCTTCTAGAATTTTTCAGAATTAGTTGTAGTAAGATGCTATGCTGGAAAAAAAGGTGTCCATGCCTCTCCACCCCCCCGCTTTTTGTTTTTTTCTTCTTCCTGTTAGATCATTCTATGCAAAGCAAGGTAAAAATATGGGTCCTGGCTAAAAATATTTTTTTCCTCATGAAGAACAGCGAAGTCTTCCCAGTCAACTAAAAATTACACAACACAAAAAATAGTAATTTTGAGCATCACTGAATTCATGACATCAGTATAAAAAAAATCTCTAGTACACAAAATTGAACAGGCGAGTAGGACCTAGGTGACAAACATAAAAAGCTATACCAAAATGCTGAAATTCCTTAAGCATTACACATTTYATTCAAGCATATCCCAAACAGTATTAGATCCAATGTGAGTCTACTTCTACRCTTCATAACAATGCATGCCATTTACACAGGCAGGGCAAAGAGTYTGAGTAAATTCAGAAATATACAGGAACGTCCATTGTTACACACACAAAGACATTCATTCCTTGCTTATCAAGAAGGAAACACTTATCTGCTATCATCAGCTGAATTTTCCTTCATCTCCCAGTGAGAACATTATTTAACAGGTTAGAACAAATTGGATGCTACAACTTATCTCACCGTTTCGTTCAAGCAAGTGAGGGTCAGAATGTTTCTTGCCTATATCTGCAAAAGATCGAACGAGGGGGATCCGATTGCTGAATTTTTTCTCATTCTGGTGATGGTGTCTTTTGAGAAGAGCTTCTCTTACATTCTCTCTTATGGATTCATCCAGTTGGCCAGAGGCAATCATGTTGTCCAAAACCATATCTACATAAATAATAATTAAAAAGAATAAAATTGAAAACTATATTTATGGCTATCAAATCTCTATCGCTTTGCACACCTGAGCACTGCAGTTGCCACAATTCACATACAAATATTAAATTAGGAGGCGGTGAACTTCCGAAATTGACAATGCGTTTTCAAAGACATCCCTGGACAAGCAAATGTGTAAATAAACAAAGCACAGTTATATCAATCTTTAAAAAAAAAAAAAAAAAGTATTTTAGTAGCACCATTTTAAGAAACAGGTTGTTTACTGTTTTCTAATTTGTATTTTTTTTTGTAATTTGTTCATTTACTCCAAATTTTAACTGCCACTTCCTTAAAGAAAGGGGAAAAACAAAACAAAACAAAAAAAACATTTTCATCTACATATTCAACTTCCATTCAGAATATAACACATTAAGGCAAACTCACAATGGAGAAGAAATTCCTGCTCAATTCCTTAAGACAATCTTAATCTGGGGTTTTGTATTTTGAAAGTATAAAACTATATTAAAGGAAAAGTTACTATATACTAAGATGAATTATTTATCTCCTGTCAGTTTTAAGCATGCTAAGTTCCTGGGACTCCCTCCCTGATGCYATGTGGTTCACATATCGTAGAAGAGGAAGCATAAAACAAAAGCTTATTTGTATGCTCAAATTTAGGAATGAACGACTGCATATCTGAAAAATTATCTCCTGTGACTTCTTAGAATTTTTTTTTTTAATTAACTGTTCAAACAAACATAAGCCTCTGTGACACAGAACTTGGAAAACATATTTTATCTCTCTCAATCCGTGTATCAAGAATTTAGCTGTACTGGTAACCTACAATGACACCAAACTTCTCAGAATGAAAAAGCTGATGGTTCCAAATACATTACAAAGTTACATGTAATGAAGTCTTCATCACTACACAGATTTCTTCAGGGTTGCTGGCTTTATAACATACCACCTGCAGCTATAATTTCTGAAAAGAAAACCTCTCACCTTTTTCTCCTGCATAAATGTGAACCAAGAGTATCTATTACATATTCCTTGCTCAGGGGAACAAGAAAACTTACTACTTCATACTGTATCAAAGATACTTCATACTGTATCAAAGTCGCTATCCCACATGCTTTCATAATAGCACAGAGAATTAGCTTGAGACAAGTTCAGACAACTTCTCAGTACATCCTAGGTCCACCTAAAATATCTGCTATTATAAAAACCCGATGTTCATAGAGGATTTAACTTTTTTTTTTCCTTATATACACCAAGATTATGGCTACAATTATGAGAAAAGCAAAACACTACATTTACRAACTATGTTTCGAACATTCCTATTTAAGTCAGGAAAATAGGAAGAGAATATCGAATTCTTGAGGGAATTTCAAGGACTGCAAAAAAAAAAAAAAATTGTGTGCAAATTTTTTGGTTAAAACACTTTGTCCCTTAAATACAAGTTAGTCGGTCCTACACCTTAGCATGATTCTTGGTAGAGCATTCCACTCTGGWACCTGTAGCAAGAGATAGCAGGAAAATAAAATAAAACTAGTCCACACAGACATCCAAGCTAAGCAGGAATATACATGACAGTTTTCAAACCTGATTTTGCAATACTCAAAATGATTAAGGCCGAGTGATTAGGGAAGACAATCAACATATTAGGTCAAACAATATTTACAAGATTATTTCTGCTCACCTCTTCTAAAGGTGAAAAAAAATACCAGATGTGCAACACTCAACTGTCCTAATGGCATCATTCTAAGATCAGCCAAGCAATGATTAACAGTTATGGTACTAAACTGCACAAATAAGTCCTACAATGTTATTTAATTTTTTATCTGTAGAAACAAAGACAAAGAACACATTCAGGGACTGGAATATAAAGGAAAATCCTGGGCCTCAACTTAAAATATGTAATAAAAGAGGTCCTACTCATCCAAGATTGTTCATCGTTAAGTGAGGTTTGAAGTATCAGCCCTTTACAWCCAGACGAAGAAAAATTGCAGTAAATCTGCACATACCTTCAATGCAGAAGTTTCAAGAATATAAAGAGAAATTGCCAAGACATTTAAAGTTTAGATTAAAATTTAGAAATATTTCAAAAGAAGTTTTGCTGTAACCTGCTATCTCATCTAGTGTGTTTGCTCTCATGTCCAACATGACCGTGCCATTAAGAATACAGCTTCGCAGCTCAAAGAGGCTGTGCAGAGACAGAGTTGCTACGTAAGGCTTGCTCCATCGATCGCCACCATCTTCAACATCCTCTTCAAATTTTAGCCATCTGAAATGCATACATAAACACATTTATATGGCATTTCTCCTATAAGAAAAGTAATATGACAAATGATCCCATCCTTCTCCTTGACTTCTGTGTAAGACAGAAGAGCAAAACCCACTAGCTCCTACAAGTTCTCACTTTCTAAGATAACACAGTAGACACGGGTGAGCCTGAGTAGTGAATACAGAAGCTCCGTGTTCATATCCAACACCTTCTAAAAATGGTTGGCAAGATCAACCTTCAGTAAATCAACACAGCACCATCCAAAACTTGAAGAGTGTATGGAGACACCACATCAGTTGTTCCAAAGTTGGACAGAAAGAAAAAGCATTTTGATTTATTGAACTTGAATCAAATAACTAACTCCTATAGCTCAAAAAAACTCTTAAGCTTGACCTAGCTTCCCTGAAACAGCATMACTATAAGTAATACCTCGAGAGCATCTGCTTTTTGTTTACCTAGCAGTTTCTTTCCATTCATATTCTTCTCCATCTCTGAAGCAAAGTTCATCCATTTCAGTAAAGAGATCATGGGGAATATGTTCATCATCATCTTCAGTACCCAGGATAAACTGCACTCGTTGGGATGGTGTGTCTTGAATAGAAGACGAAAAAATAATGATAATAAAAAAAACTTCCCATGGGACACAACACATAACAGCCAAGCTTCCTGCTCTCTATCAGAAACTAGTTGCACAAGAGTCACATGAAGAGAGGTCAGAAATAAAACAAACACGGAAACTTCTTGAAAAGGGAGCCTTTCTAAAAATTTACATTTCTTTTTCCTGAAAACAAAGTGAAAAAAAATGGAGATTTACGTATGAATCTTGGTAATACGATTGCATATTCTTCTATAAACTGAGAARCCTTCCCCCTCTTTGTAAATCAAAAATGTTTTCAGTATTTCCAGTAAATGTTCCTCAAATTATATTTTAATATAAAAATAAATACACTTCAAGGCCAGGTTTCAACAATTATGTGCAAGAAATCTGTACTAAAAATGAAAAAAAAAAAATCAAATAAAGAGTGACTGCATTACAGTTGACTACAGAGTCTTACAAGCATCAGTTTATGCAAACACACATRAACTGCAGTGAAACTGCTGCCCCCACCCTTTTTCTTTAGAAAAGCTACATACTATTTCATTCTAATTATACTATAAAAATAAAAATAATAATAATTTCCAATAATTTCTGAAGGCCCTTCCAGAAGGCTCTTCCCTGTAGTTCCAGAAGACCCGAGGCCTTCGATTGTCGCCGTACGCACAGAACACACACAGAGCCTGCCCGCAGTTAACCGCACGCGGCACGTTTTGGCGTGGGCTCCCTACGCTGTGATGAAGGGCTCAACCTGGGGCTAGGCACCCTGGGGCAGAGCCACAAGCCCTGGGGCAGAAGCACAGGAAGGGGGCACTACTGCTCTGGAGCAAAGTGCTGCAGTAACACCACTTTCAGGAATGAGCTTYAACTATCAGTGTGGAATAAAAACACTTTGACTCCATATGGTGCTTAGTGCAGTGAGAGGCAAGCTGTGCTTTGACCCAACCTGGACTCAAGAGAGTCAATTTTGGTCTGCATCCTTTTTTAGTTGAGAGTTCAGTAACCTAGAAACACTTCGGTTTATGTATCTTGCTTGTGTATCAGCACAATTTAAAATCACCTGGCAACTAATAAGATTAGCTCCAACATCTGCTCTCCAACAGCTCCAACTGAGAAAGTTTCAAAAAATAAGGGAAAAAAAGAAGCAATCAAAAGTTCCAGAAAGCGTAATTTTAGTAAGAAAAAAAMCAAAGTGTTACCAAAAAATGTTTTAAGCACAGAACATTTATTGACTTATTCTTAAGTGACACAAGCTACACAACCTATTTCTTACCGTAAGACGGAGATTCTCGACCATCCTCTCTGTCAGTTTCTTTTTCTTTTTTTCTCCTGTGGTGCCTGTGCCCACGATGCCTGTGCCGACGACGGCCCTGCTTGCCAAGGGGCACGTGAACGCCGATATAGACAGCTCTGTGGCCTTGCAAGAAAGTGCAGGAGGGAACAATTAAACGAAACAAGCCACAAAGCAATTTCTTGCAAAACTTTAGTGTTGTAGTCAGGAACACAAGAGTTGGTCGTAGTCAAAAGGCAATCAGAAAGAATTTGGCAAAGACAGYAAGAAAAAATACTGGTCCAATGAAGGTGCCAGGTGTCAACGTAGTACCACGCTGATTGCCACCACCAATTGAACAAGAACATTTTAAGAATGCAGATATGAAACAAAGAATGTAGAAAAATAACCATGATTCTTAACCTTTGGAGAGGCTACTTGATAAACCCCAGGGAACTGTTGGTAACACTGTGAACTTACATTCCTTTCTTTTGCTAGGAGTGTCAGTCTATCAGGATTATGACTACAATGGGCAAAATGTGATCCCACAGTTCAGTTTATGAACTTCATTAAGAGACGACCCATAACTTAAAATGTCACATGAAGCATCCAGGTGACCTCAACACTGAAAAATACCATTAATATCAATTTAAGAGCCAAACAGGCAGTTGGAAACTTACACTCAAAAGATTATACAAACCTTCAATAAACTTGGCTTGCACATCCTCAAATTAAGATCTTTAAAAGGTTGGAAGAAAAAAGTAAAAAGTTACAGAAGGATAAATGCATTCCTGTAGCATTTATTTTGAATTTATTTTTCCTTTGGCCTTTCACATTAATGCCAACATTACTCACCAAGAACTTGACAACAGGAATCAATCAGCAAGCTGTTATGAACATATTTCTGACATGCCTCTCTAAATGGAGTTGGCACATACAATAACCTTTTCAATTCCTTTTTAAACAAACAATCGCAGGAAGAGACACATTAACTACAAGCCTAGAGGTTAATGCTAAATACTTTGTTTCATCCTATAAAAGTTATTACAGAAGGCTGACATTAATGAAAGGAAAAGGAAGTGGGTTTCCAGCTCTTAAGAGACGCAAATTCAGCAAATTTCTCAAGGAGGAAGCCCTAGGAGCTGGGACGCTGTATATGCAGGGCTGTGCATTAAGGTTATGGAAATATTCTGACCGTTACAGAACTCCACCAACTGCTTTCCAGGAATAAAAAGCACTAGCACGTGCAACTTGCCTTTGAAACAAATCTCTCAGCTTAATTTATGAGACATAGAACTTCAATAAAATAGTACTTTTATGGTGACACAAAAGGAAAAAAATAATCAGTAATGCTTTCAATGTTTAATTAATTTGAACAGGACTCTTTTTTAAATTACAAAGCCAGATTTTGGACACACTTCCAACACAAGTTCTAATTAGAGACTGACTGGGACTTTGACCAACTCTGAAATTAAACCATAGAACAGCTGATTTGTTTCCATCTAAGAGCAAAATCAACTCTCCTTGAGGTCTCCTCAGCCCTATACCCAGGGAGAAACTTCTACTATTCATTTCTTCCRAACAGAATAGTCAGTCCCTGCTAAGAAGCCTAAGAATGCACCAACAATGGTGAAAAGTGCACTTTTTTGGTACAGAATTGATATATGAGCTAAAAGATCTCTACTCTTACCTAGGCTGTCCAGAACTACGATTGTTGGGTAGACAACCAAGACAACACACAAACATGTCGCACCCTAGTAACACTTAGACGAGCTTAAATCTTAACTTCACATAGAAGAGCACTGAACGGCCTTCTAGAAAATAAAGGTAGTTGGATTAAGCAGATCTGTGTTCCTTCAGCTTCATTACTCAGAAAAGTATAATCAAAGACGAACAGATCAAGATTAGTTAATAGCCCAATTTACAAGAAAATGAAGAACAGGATTTTTTTTTCTCCATTCCTAGTGAACTTGACAGAACTATTACCAGCTCTCTTCACCTATGCCAAAAAAAATAAAATAAATATGTAAATAAATAAAGCAACAAAAGGAATGACGAAAAAGTTCACTCTTTCACTCTGAGAAGGCTGGCATTGCTCTTGCTTGCACGGCTGTTATTTCTAAAAGGAATGCCAACTTACCCCTTGAACACTGTTTTTAAAGGCTTCAAACAACATGACCTTCAAACCTTCGTTCACACGAACACCTGCACCATCCTACTGCTCCCAAGCAAAGCTTGTTACAGAATTACTTTAAACCAATAATCAATAGAATTAGTAGACTGCCTGATACTAAATTTAGTAATGTAGAACTCCAGAGATAATTGTTCAATTTAATCTAACATGACTTTATCCAAGCTTAGCTGCACAAATCCACCAAGGGTATTTACTCGTTAAGGTCATTACCAGCATGAAACAAATTGAAATGTAGAAGCCTGCTATGTGTCCCAGTCACATGGCTGTTCTCATCCCTCAGTCAGCTTAAAGGGAAGCCCTGTAACACTGACAAACACAAGAGAAAACTCTGTGAGGGTTTCTGGATTTCTCCCCACAGCCACTAAAAAGTAAGAGCAGACTTCAAAAGTCCTAGGGAGATCAAAAACAGGCATTCAAAAACACTCTGATGTGGCAAATCTACCAGTGCAATTCTCACACAGAGCTTGCTTTCTTCTAACAATCATTTTCTTAGCTAGAAGCCTTCTAAACTTTGTRTAAAGTTGTACATGTTTCCCATGCTAGTGAGGGGAAAGCAAAGAAAATCAACTTAAAAGAACATGATACGTTTTCATGTTCTGTTACTTAGAAATCTGAACTGCAGCGATCACATGCCAATTACAGTGGTGACATCTGGAGGTCATCTGCTCCTCACTCAAAGCAAGACTAACTTCCAAGTGGAAGCCATTTCTGGATCAGGTTACTCAGGATGACAGGCAGGCAGCTTTGAGGACCTTCAAGGGCAGATATTCTACAGCCTCTCTGGGTCTCCTATTCCCRTGTTTAACTGCACCCTCAGAGAGAATTTCTTCCTGGTATCTAATCATGATCTCCCGTATTGCATCCCGTGGCCTTCCCCCTTATCCTTTCTCTRTGTGGCTCCACCAACAGCCTGATACCATCTTCTCTGTAAGCTCCCAACAGGCAGCTGAAGACAAATCMCTTTAAGAATTAGTACTTTCCAAATAGCTTCAGATACCAACCACAATATAGATCATTTATTTCACATAGAAACTTTTATTTAAATACTGTTTAAAAGTCATAGATACGCTTAATAAGTTAGAAGCAATACAAATGGGAAAAATAATCTTAGCTGGACAYAAGTAGAGTGAGAGCCAGCAGATCCTGTCACAATCCAAAAATTAGACTCCAACCCTCTGCTGGAGAAAATGAAATCTAAAAACAATGAGAGTCTTCTCCTCCCTTTTCTTAAATCCCATTCATTCATATTAAAGTCCAATGAGTAAAAGAAAATTCACTGAAAATGCTGTTAATTAAATTCTCCTTTTTTTTTTTAATTAAAAGTAATACCAAGTTTCTGAATTATTTAAGTCAATGCACAATATAATGTTGGCAGTTAAAATTGTGAGTCAAGTATTTTAAAATAAACAGTTTTATTGTAGCTTATTTTATGAACTTCTCCCTCACAAAAAGTACTCCAGAAAGAATCAAATCATTTTCTTGTGGAATTAATACAATAAAAAGGAATATTAGCATTTCAGTGTAACTGCCTGGRTTGTGCAAGGTTGATGCTACACAAGCTCTATTATCATCAAGGTATTTTTGCTATTTTTTCCCCTAAATATTATGCAGAAAAAAACCAAACAACTGAAAAAGAATGACTTGACACATTATTCTTTTTTTTCTTGTTTTCAGAATGAAGTAGTTGAAATCAAAAAATTTTAATTAATCCATATAAAGGAATAATAATTCAAACAAAACACCACCCACATTGTTTCACAGGACAGTTACATATCATCTGGAGCCCACAGTTTCTCCATAATGCAGATCGCAGAACCTTAAAATTTATGTGCCCTCCCCTGGATTCTTCCAGCACTTCCTAGTAGTCAAGAGCATCCAACAACACGGTCTTTGCCTAAAATATCTGGGCGCACATGATCGAAACATGCGATTCACCATCTCTACCYGTACAGCACACGCTGAAGAGCTCAGTATAAAGAGCGTTTTCCTTCAGCACAGCCCAGGCCAGCATCCTATTATGCTGGCTGGCAGAAGCAAGGAATACCCCAACTTGCACCATACATGGAGGGGGTTTCTTCTACACACTCTGAATGAGCTGTGAGCTACTAGGGACAGCTGTGAGAGAAAAACGTACAGAATATTTGTGCCTCACATAAGCAGTGACATTCAAGAAGGCACTGTCAGTAATTCCTGATGCAGCAYGCAGGTGCTACCTATAAGAGGAAAAGCTTTGTTGGTGCCAGCAGRCACGGCTGCGGGGGTTCTGGCACTGCCTGTCCCGTGCCAGCGCTGGTGGCTCCTGCCTGGGACAGGGGCCAGTGTGAGGTGCGGGATGAGGGCACTGGCTGCCCTTGCGGCGTGCGGGAACAGTCCGGAGGTAGAAGCCACTGCCTTGCTGAGCTGGAAGATCCTCTGCAAGGCTCCTCCGCTGGCAGTGCTCAGGAGAAGAGTACAGAGCAGAAATGAACTACAAAAGAGCTTTTTTTGTTGGAGGGGAGGAAACCTAGAAACAGGCAAAAGCAAGAAAAACTTCCCTGAAAATCCAAGGTTGGCTCTTTGTCAATGACTAAGGCAATCTGCACTGTAAGGCCTCCTCAAGGCTTGGTAGGGAAACCAGGGCTCCCTGCTGCTAACACTGTACTAGCACAGCACTTCGAAAGATGGGTTTGGAAGAAAAAAAAAACGTCAAACATATTCTTGTCACAAATTTGATTAGAGATGCCTCTCTCCTACAACTATCATATCTATTTTCATTAAGACTAATTGAACCATCCCCATGAAATGCATCTACTTCCTGATCCTTCTAGTTAATTATAAACTAACTAACTAAATAAAGAGAATTCTTGCCTCAGGTAAGTCACGTTTGAGGAGAAAGGGAGGTGGGGAAAAATAAGCTTTTATTGCTCAYTCATAGCATAAAAAATAGACAGAAATCAAATTCAAAACATTCCAC